CGATTATGGTATATCTCCGCCATGGTGAACCCTCCTGGCAAAAGGAATGCTGGCTTTTTGGTTGATCCAGGGCCATATGGACGCTCTTGATAATAATAGGTAAGCGCGGCGGCTTGTAGCGTTCACGAAACCCTTCTTGAGAGCAATGCCCCACATGAAAAGTTGTTGACATTGGTCTGTCATTCCTGGCGGACACCAAGTCAACTGACCTCATTCCAGCCATAGCTCCAGAAGGGGATTTGCAAAAGTTGAATAGATTTTAACGATTGCTGAATTGTAACTCTAGGCTAGGGGTAAGATATTTATTATTCCTTGAGCGTTTTTAGCTGTGCGTTGCAAAATGCGCATTTTCAACTTTCCCGTTTTTAAGAGGTAGAAAGGGAATCGGAATCAAAATATTAGTGCCACACCAAAGTGGATGGCTGATTGAGCGAGCTGAGTGGGAGTTAATACAACTGAAAAGGTGCTTTTCTATATATATGCTGGGACAGAAAAGCCGAATCGGCTGGAAATATGGCAGGTAATCAATCATCTTCCAATTTCATGTTTTCTCACCGTCTCAGAGCTAAGTAAAGCTTAGGCCGTATTAACATGCCAACTAAAGTTCTTCTACCATGCTACCAAATATGTGGGCACCGACTCAAATATCTATTCTAGGATTCCCGGGTCAATTCTGACATTATCAAAAGCCGGCGAAAAAGCTACTCGTTAGTCTATAAAATAAAAGGATTCACTTTCTTACATATTCCATTTCCAATTGGTGATCCTGAAGGTTCTATAATAACACATGTACATAATTTACAAAGTCTTTCTCATTTGCTCCGCTGTCTGCCGGATATATAAACACGAATAATCACCCATGTTCAGTCGTCTTTCCCAGATCATTCTCACACTCTGCTGGCCAGAGATTCCATTCATTTAACCATTCACTCGTTTGTTAAACTCGCTTGAAAGTTGATCTTTAGCTGGTCTAAGGTGCCCCCTTTTTTCTTTCTTTTGTGGTCAAATATTCCGAGATCTCCCACGGGTACAAACAACCATGTCGCGTCGTCAAAGGCCCGAGGACATTGACGTTGAACGGGGAGAGGGTGGAGTAGCAGTCCCACCACCACGACGGAGCCCCCGCCTAGCCCGGCAAAGAACTCCAACATTACGTACCTTCCCGGAGCCTACTTCGGGTGACCGTCAGGTTCAACAAGAAGTTGACTTGGGTCAAGCATCTCCCTTGAGAAACGTACAGAATGACCCTCCGGTTCCAAATCCAAACGAATCTGCATTGAGCACGCCACCTCCGACTAATCGCTCTACTCCCGCTGCCTCTACTTCCACGAATGCAACCAGCGTTGAGGCCCGAGAAGACACTGCAGGCGGGACAACTGAATCTGAGATCACAGATCCTTGCCCAATCTGTCGCGACAGCCTCGGAAATGGGCATGTAACGCGGAACTGTTTCGAATGCAACCACTGCTTTCATGCTGCCTGCTTGGACGCATGGTCAGGGAGAGAAAATCGGGAACCCCCAACATGCCCTATGTGGTACGTACGCTTGTAGTTCTCAGTTCCGAAATAAATATTTGCTGATGACTATACAGCCGGTCCAGACGAGGATATACTCCTTCTCGTGAGCCGACAGGCGAGCCTGACCCCATGAATATTGACACTAGATCTGTTAGCAGTCAAGAGACTGTGCGGGAGACAACTCAGAGGAATACTGCTCCCCGTCAACGCGGGCCAGCTCTACCTCCCCTTCCAGGACTAAGACAAAATGTTTCAATAGCTCCTCAGGTGTCGCGACCACGAGCTGTCGAACGATTCTCTCGTTCACCAGCAAGATCCGAACCTATTGTCCCCGGATATACTAGTGATGGAAAGCAAATTCGTTATGCACGTAACGGGCGCGCAGTGGTTCAAGACGAAGATGGAAATCTCAGCCTTTATTCAGCTGCAGAGGCTGGAGGCAATAGAGTTCTCAATAATGCGCTTGCCCTCGACTCAGTTGGGCGAATTGAAACGGATGGCTGGAAGGAACTCAAAGAAGATTTCAGCGCCCTAGGAGATGTTTACATCGAATGGGCTGTTCCTGCCGCCTGGGATCCGTACAGTACGAGGTTACCGGAAATTATGTGCTGTGTCGTCCATCATCATGGAGGACAGCGCACCAAGAGAGTTGGATCACGATCAAATGTGAAGCTTCTTTTCGGTAACAGAGTGGCTGATAGAATGATAGCAGAAAGCCTTCATCCAAGCGCAGCTACTCCTGAGGAGGCGCTAGAGCAGCTTTACGGAGTGACTCGTCTTCAGCGCGCGAATTACTGGCGAAACAACCCAACACTTCCCCGATCTGCAAGGGGAGTCTAATATGCGCAGATCCCATTCATGTCTTGAATATTTCCTTTTTTTTTTCTTTTTGATGTTAGTTAACTATTTCGTTCTCGATCGCTGTTCATGTGTTATTTGAAATGTGCTTTATTGCTATGAATCTTTTCGACCTTGATTATATATCGAAAGTCTGATAGTTAGTTGTATGTAGAAGAATGGAACCCATATGTCTTGAAACACGCGGAAATGACTCAATCATTCTGACATAGAGCACTGTTTTAGGGTACAAGATTGGGTCACTAGGACATGGTGCAAGCGCTTTATGATATAAGATAGTAAATACAAACGGCACATGCAACAAGGATGGTACATGGGAAAGAATATATCCGCGTACTGGGAAGGTTGGCGGGCAGAAAAGCATCGCTTCACCCAAAGTCTTTGACAACGAGAAGCCATCAACCTACTCATCTTCCTTGAATTGAACGCATGTTATAAACCAGAAAGAAAAATCAATCAACCTGCACCACCCTTTCGCACCCGGCAACCGATGTTTCACTCTGTTTGTGACTTTGGTGATAGCGCAGGCTGGCGAGTTCGCGATTAAGGCGCTGGTTTTCAGCTGAAAGCATATTATATGTATGATAGAGCTTTTCGTAGTTTTGATGGAGTGAATTGTAAGCAACACGCTCTTCGTGGTTCCGTTTACCCGCATTTGCGAGTGACTGTTCGAGTTTTTCAATATGATGTAAATGGTGCTGCTCGCGTGCAAAGAGGTTGCGCACTAGCGACCATGTGTCAATGGTCTCGTTGGGGTACTAATCAATTAGCAACCAATTTTGTTTACTGTTTTCTCAAATCATACCTGCGTTGGCATTACTATCAGGGTTACAGGAAGTGCTTTTGTGAAAAGGTGAAAAGTGGAATTTTGTCTTTCTCTTGGTGGGTCAGCATTGATATATATGTTATTTCGACACATAGGGTAGTTTTTAATAATGTATTATTTGGTCCTAAGTACATTGATTGGACAAACCCCACCTCCAATTAAGCGCGTGCCTCCAGCCATGCAAGGCCCGCTTCCCCACTCCATTCGGCGTCCGCATTTATGTACTATTGTTGAGCCTGTGAGGCAATGTTAGCGCCTGAACTATACCCATAGAGATTATCGTACCCTAAGCCAGTCTCTCTGTAACTGGCGCCATTTATTTTCCAGAGCAGAGCCGGTCCGGTAACGGCTCTCTGCCACCTGTTGATTATACTCTCTTTCGATTTCCACCCAAGTAAGATTAAGAAGTTTAAGATGAATGAGCAGTTGCTCCTCGCCGGGATAATATGGTTTGTTGTGGCCAGATGCACCTGGACTATTGTCGTCTGACCCCATAACGATTTAGTGAAGGATAGATGTGTAAGGAAGTATAGCAGTGCGCTGGGGAGCCTTGATGTGGGCCTCCGTGGGCGCTCTATAAACTCAGGGGACTGGTGGCTAGAAATAGATTCGTGGGCGTTGCGAATCGGGATACTTAAAATAGACTGGGAAAGAGGGGGCAAAAGTTGACTGTTCAAACCATGAGGTACCGTGGGCGTCTCGCGGAATTTATGCCCTGTGTACATTCTTTCACCTCGAGGTTGTGGGGAGTCGGCCAGCTTTGTCTATAAAAAGGAGTCATCACCCTCGGATGTCACGGCTAACCAAATCCAAACCCATACTTGATCTGACTATGGACGACGCAGCAATGGACGCACTTCTCAGTTGGGGCACAGGAGAAGTAGCGGATTTCCCTGATTTGGACTATGAACTATTGGATTCTATTTCCCATCTCGATAATCAGATTCAGCCTATCGAGGACGTTCCAGACCTTATGCCCGATTACCGGCCTGCGGCACAGGACACTTTCAACGCCATGGACAGACTAGTTAGCGAATTGTCCACCAGGGTTACTATGCTTGAGAACCAGTAAGGTTCCCTCCCCCAAGGATGCGTGATCAGAGACAAGTGATAACGAGTTCTAGACTTCAGTCCGAGCGCAGGTGAGCAAAGTGAGAGTAGGTCGACGCTGAAGCGCTAACAGACGAGTCAGAAAACGCGAGGCCCTGGAAGATTACGTTGAGCAGCTACAGGCATTCCTTGAGCAATTCAGCTTTTCTGTTGAGCAATAAGCGTGTGGGGGCATATTACTGGTTAATGAGCGCTCACATGATCTTTTGATGACGCACTGCAATTTGGTTCACCTGTGAATTTGAATCTCGTTTGTTGAAATATACTTTTGTCCCTAGTAGCCCTGTAAGAGCGGCGCAGTAAGGATTGACGTGTAGGGCTGCGTGCATTGGTCGGGGGCCGCGCTACCTGCCGTGCCACGAGCCGCGCCACGAGCCGCGCCACGAACTATAGAAGAGGAATTGATTCCCTGCAAAGTGGAACAAAGATACATTCAACATCCGTCAACAGCAGGATGTAGATCCCTGCACCTCTGGCTAATTGACTGCGGCAATTGCCTATCATTTCAGCCGAACAACCGACTCCCCAGAAAGTTCAACGTTTGATTGTGGCAACCGCCTACACCGGTTACACACCCCTCTCTCCCCCCTAAGAAGTTATTTGAAAAGTAAGAAACTACTGCGGCAGCTATTTGCCTTCCATGATCATAATCACCGTTGCTCCCTACACTGAGCTCCTTACCTCCGAAATGTCGTCCTCTAGAAGCGAAGGCCCCCTGGATGTGCCCAATCAAGGCAGTGGTGACTTGAGCAATGCTAAGGTTTGTAAAGTCTATCCCTTTATTTCTCTCTGCTAACTTGAGCAATAGAAACCACAAGAGAGCACCCAGTTTATCGAGGGATGTTTAGGAGAGCATATTGAGCTTCTCAAACGGGTTGATGGTTCTCGCTTAATGATCAGCGAGCAACTCAATAATCTGTCAAAAAGAATCGAGGATCTTGGAGTCTTAAATCAAGAACTGGAACGTCATATTCAACAAATGTCAAAAATTGTGGGCAAAGGCAGAAATTGAACTTGTTGGCAGGCCTTCGTACTTTGTGCATATACGACTTTCTTGCTAGGTTGCTGTGGAAAACAGCTTGGGCTGTGATTGTACACACTGACATTATTACATATGTCAATTTATTTATATTTTCCGTACAGTGTATAAATTCCTATCTTCCCCCCACCTCCCTTGTTGTAATTCTTCCGAGAGAAAGGAAAGTACCATCATGACTGCTTGTGACCATATTGTGTGTCTTCGCCACGTAGAAAACGAACGGACAGGAGAGATTGTGCTTGAGGATACGGGTCGATTCTGGCGCGTGGTTCAAGAACTGCCAAAGCCATCACTTCAAACGCCTCAGCTGGCGCTATTCATCGGCACCAATGCCAAAGATAACGCTCTGAAGCATATCTATCCACAGAATAATATTGGTAGGCGGGGGGAAAGAGGAAATATCAACCTTCATCTTGAAACGAAATCGATAAATCACGAAACACCAGTGTTTTTTGCGGAAAGCAGCCCGTTCGTGAAGAATCCAAGCCAACGCAGCCACGTGCTTTGTCACGAAACATTGTCCTATTCCATACGCTGGAAGGCGGACCTATATGCTGTTATCGATATCCTCTACGCAAGATTGTTGTTTCTTTTTAGTGATGTCATCTGCCTTTTCGCTGATGACTTTTCCAGTGTGGAAGCAGTGCTCCTACGCCTTATGACGTGGGTAGAGATTGGAAGCGCAATGTCACTTCTGCCTGAGTTACGCCCACGACTACTGATTATAGTATCAGAGGATGGCCCGCATGACTCTTTGAAACACGACTTACTCCGGAAAGCGCTCCAATTCCATGCGGTGCAGCTGAATAATGTTTTCTCTGCAGCTCAGACCTTTCAGCTGGCAGGCACGTATTTATCTCCACTGGCTCGGTACCAACGACTCCAACATGAAATTAGAACCCAGACTCAGCAAATGCTGGAACTGAAACAGAAATCTCATATGCTCCTGTCCGCGTATCACCTTGCCTCGTTTTTCGCAAAGGCGGTCGAGAAATTAGCTCAAAGCCGTTCCGGGGAGTTCAACTTCTTCAGTGAATCCCGCAGACGGAACGAAATAGGTACAGACTACCAACGGCATATAGAAACATTCTTGGCGCAGGCCCAGCGTCAGAGGACCTCCTATGATAGCATCGCATCCTTCATCGCGACAAGCATACTAATGGATGCATATCCACCGCGAATGCACCGTCAGTGGCTCCCACGTTTGAGAGACTTGAGTGACCCTGCTGACCCTCCTAGGCTTTCCAATTGAGCATATTTTTACCGTGTTATATCGCGAATCTTGCTATAGGGCGCTGGAGTCGTCTTACAGCAATTTATTCGCACGCCATCTATGCGGAGAGGTTGAACGCCACTGCATTCATCAATTTAGTCGTCTACAGAATGGATTGATATCCTCTAGTAGACTACACTGGGGTAATATAAGACAACTTGATGCCTCCATATCCTCGTACAGGAGTAACACTACCTGCCTCTTTTGTCTCCGCCGGATGCCGGAATACCACCTCAGTTGTGGGCACTGTGTCTGCAATGAATGTATTCTGGCCTTTGGCGCAGCAACCTCAGGCAGGGAAGGTCGGTTTAAGCTGCGGTGCATTCTCGACGATCGAGGTGAAACCACAGTCGACCTTAAACCAAGAACAGCCGGTATTAGGGCCATTGGCATAGATGGGGGAGGTTCTCGGGCTGCCACATCCCTTGAATTCCTGAAAGGATTACAGAGACTGCTTCATAACCAGCCGCTACATGAAATGGTGGACATTGCTACCGGTAGCAGTTCTGGTAATCCTTATATTGTCCTATTAAAAGCCGTTCGCTAATATCATTAGGGGGCCTTATTGCTCTGGCCAAATTTCACTTACATTGGCCGGTCAAACGGTGCACAGAAGTGTTCGAACCGTTCGCCATGCGCTGTTTCAGGCGTTCAAAATCTATATTCGGAGTTATCAGGTCTGCATTTCAATATGCTGTCACAGATGCGATTTATGATGAAGCTCTGATGGAGAACTTGATGAAAGAAACCTATGGGGCGGATGCTATATTTTTTGACTATACACCAGGTATCCTGCCTGGGACCCGAGTCGCAGTTACCGCAATGACACATGGAGGTCTTCGAACAATATTCACCAATTACAATGCCTCAGGTGACATACACCGGGATTCTACCATCAGTCCTCAGACTCCTATTTATCAAGGCCCGAGCTATGTTGCCATCAGACCACAGGAGGTTGAAAGAGAGCCTCTTACATGGCAGGTGTAGGTCATACTTGTGATATCTTTGCAACCTTCTCTAACATTGCTCAGGGCCCGGTCTACTTCAGCCGCTCCAGTGTAAGTCAGGCTCACTACTATGTTGAGTAATGCTAAATTCGATAGGTTTTTCAAGCCAATGAAGCTCAATACAGGAGACTTCTGGGATGGTGCCCTTGGATTTCCGAACCCGACTGAGCTGGCGGGATGGGAGGCACTCAGACTGTGGCCCGGGGGCACTATCGACGTTGCTATATCAGTGGGAACGGGAGAAGAACCAAGACAACCTAAACTTGCCAATTCACTTTCTCGCCTTCTAAGTGCTTTTAACATCTTTTTGGATGGACAGCACCAATTTTTGAATATAAAGAGAACCACATCAGATCAAGACACATTGCGACTGAATTCGCAGTTGGCTCGACCCATCCGGCTCGACAATGCTGACAGTATTGAGGAGCAGAAGCATTACGTGCAGTGCAACCCACAGATCTGCCAGGATCTGGTTGGGGCCGCAACTGCACTCCTAACCTCAAGTTTTTATTTTCAATTGGATCGCCCTGTGTTTTATAACTTGGGAATCTATTACTGCCAGGGTTCCATCCACTGCCGTGGGGACTATCGCCGGGTCGCAGATGCACTCACGGAGCTCTACTCCTCACAAATAGAGTTCTTAACACAGACTGAGGTCCTTACGAAATGTGAACTGGGTCAGGATATTTGTTCCGTATGCCATCGTTACCAGAAACATGTGTCTTTTTCCGTCCGACACCCATCAGACCTTATCACGATCTCTATTCGTATAGGCAATAAAGTCACTCGGAAGATCAGCGGATTTCCCCAAAACATATCCTGGTTCCAGCAGCAACAAGGATTTGATGACCATTTTGGCTCTTCCAGTCATGATATTCCAGGAGAAATTCGCTGCATCAGTTGTGCTCAGCCGAATAACTTTGGCGCGCAGAAACGAAAAGGAACCCACTCCCTATTCAGGTATGCCAAACGGATGAAATGCTAGACGCAGACCCTGTCGCCCAACTAAGAAACCCGTTTTTCGCACTCCAGGTCCCAGAGCATTTCAGAAGGGATATTTTATTTGTGATATGTGAGTTCTCGCGCCAAACGGATGTTTCGCCAAGAATGTCTGTGATCTAGGTGGGCTGCAAACCCAAGACCTATAAGTTTATATTTTGGTTTTAATGGTAGAAGCTGTCGAAATGTTAATTTGTACCGATTCTACTGGAAGGAGGTAGTGTGGCTTTTTAGAATTGATCAAAAACGTATTGATAGTTGCAATCCTTTGTGTAAAGACCACAACAAAGCCAGCCTCATGTCAAGCCCGGGATCTATCTAAGCCACGCTGACCTCGTGTTAACATTGTTGTATTCAAACCACCTGACTAGCTAGCGGCGCAATCACACGTGCCTTGTATGACGCAACCCCGCTTGCCCCTCACCTGGATTTTGTTCCATCTTTCGTTATTCCATCTATTCTAGGTCGGTAACGCTACATGAATTTATATTCAATGCTCATTTTCTGCATTCCTTTCGATCTCATAGGAAACGCTAGTGCCCAGAAACTGGAAATACGGCGCCATCTCAAATCTCTACATCAAGAGAACGGAAATGTCCATCAACCAAATCTGTCCTTCAGTCGATGTTGTTTGCTGGAACGAGACTGATCTCTGGATTCATTGCCCTTACTGCGAAGAGCTGCATCGCCATGGGTTCGTGTCGTATGAAAGTGCGTCCCGGGTACCCCATTGTGGCCTCCCCCGCCCTTCATATCAGTATAACTTTCCTGTGGCCTACGAGATCGATAAAGCGAAAGCACGTTTTATCAATACCCACACACTTCAATATTTGGAAGAAGATCCTGAGAATGCGGTGTCATTGTCTGGTGAATTTTCCAACATCACCCAATCAAGCACATCAAGCAGGCCTCGACAGTCTGAGTTTTCCTTTGATGATTCCACAGAGACGATTACTATTCCGCTTCCGCTAAAAGGTGAAGAGCCTTTTAAAGAGCGACGTATTCTCTTCGCTATATCATATTGTGTCTGCGGCAATGTACACGGAATGATGCGGTACCTGGAAAAATCATCTGACAAGTTAATTTTCCTGCACGGGAAAGATCACGACGGAGATACGTGTCTTATTATGGCTTCTCGAGAGAAAAGCTCGTCCATGGTCTCCCTTCTTCTCGATCATGGCGCTGAGATAAATGCCACGAATAAAAACGGTAGAACTGCACTCATGGAGGCATCCCTTTGGGGAAGGCTGGAAACCGCAAAGATACTCCTTTCTAGAGGTGCTGACCGATCCTTGAGCGACAACAAGAATCAAAGAGCTCTTGATCTTGCCCAATCAACTCGAAAGAACCAGAAAGAGCGGCACTTAACGGCGGGTGGGATTTGGGGCGATCCATCTATGGAGCCCATTCACAAGGAAGATGTTTTCAACCGAGATAATGACCGACGGGAGATTGCGCGAATTCTCGGGGAGAGAAAAGAATATATCAGAACAGACCACCAACCGCAAGTGTCCGAAGCAGCTTATCATTCTTTCAGGAGATCCTCTGATGGTCTGTCAATCACTCATTGTGGCCCAATTAGAGAATTCCCATATCCAAACGCAGCAAAACTATAGCTATACTGGAAAGGGGCAAACTCTTCCCGGCCATAGCAGCTATGAGCGGGTGGGGCCATTCGGAATGCCCTTCTACTAGAGTAAGTGGCAAAGACTGGACAAAACGAGTGCTGAACATAGCCGACATCGTTGGCCATACCTTGTCTGCCGACTCAGAAAAGGACCAGGGAATTAAAGGCCAGTTTCACGCTTCTCACGCTGAGAAGCAGTTGATTGCCTATTTCCTCGACCGGCATGTCTTTCTACCAGAAGATAAGATCCCCGACCCGCGCTTTGACGAAAAAATCGCGCACTTAAAACGTGAAATGGAAGATATGGCCTCTCAGTACCCAATCATTCAACAGCTCTACCGGCTTCAAGAGCAAAAAGAGCAGCTGGAATATGAGCTTTTCGACAAAGATGATCGATTGCTTGGAGAGGAATACGACAACGAATTGGTCAAATGCCTGAAAACGCAGATTGCACGTCTCAGTGAAATAATTGCCTCCCTCGAAACGCGTTCTGAAGTGGAGCGGATCAGGGCTCGAGAACGTCAGATCCAAGTATGTAAACATGAAAAAGCTGTCCATGGCCGCCTCAACCGCATATCGAATATGGCGCAAAAGGACACTTTGAGGCGGGCAGCTAAATTGATAAGCGCGCCTAAATATGAAATTTGTACAGACTGTTTGCTGTTCAAGGACAACGTCAACCGCATCTTCGGCCTTTCGCTCGAGCTTCATGAGTGCACCCAGTGATTTCTAGCGGGATTCGTTATTCTGGATATCCAAAAAGATAGTCTAAAAGAAACACTTGTAGACTAAGGATAAGCGAAGGATTAAAGTTACTCTTAGGAACTTACATATTCTTCGCACCTAGTCACTGTTTAGTGAATTTAAAGATAAATTTATTAATAATACGATAGGGACCCGCTTGAAGGCCGTGGAGCAAGTTAACTCCTAACGATGTGACGGTTAGCCGGGCGCCATTTTCGGCCTCGCTCGACGCCGTTTTACGAGTCTCTCTCACCAGCTCCCGCCTTGGCATCACGTGTGACAATGCCCACGGTTTTCCGTGCCTGACGCTAGTGCGGCAGCTGCTGAGCATGTTCAGCTTCGCTGAGGGACCCAGGTCCTGTCGCTGAGGGGAGCCGTTTTTGGCTTACCTCAGGACCATCATGTGTTCTCTGCTTCGAAATCCTATTTTACCATGCCGACCGTCACGTCTAATCCCTCCATCCTCCCTCTGACATCACCCATCGTTTTCCATCCGATGCCCTACTCTCCTCGTCGCCGTAGACCGCGACATCCTTCGTTTCATCCATTTAGTCGGCTTTTCGTTTTCGGTCTTCTGTCTCAACGATGACGCTTCACGCCCGACCGGCGGGACCTCAGGAGAGTAAGGATCAGATCGAGAGCGATTCCAACTCCGACGCAGCGAGATATTCTCGGACAACGACTCTAATAATGACTCCAACAGCGACCTGGAAGACAGCGAGGAGTCCGATGACGATGATGGGGAGGATGAGGAGTCCTTCAACGACGAGGGCGAGCTGCCTCCAGAGCACTATCTGGCTGAAGCAGAGAACCTAGATGTCTCTTAGCTCCGGCAGAAGCGGTACAGCGATGTCACGCAGGAGAAGTTAGACGAGACCCGTGTCTACTGGGATAGGTAGGGAAAGTATTCTCTCTTGGGGCCACCGTTCCGTGGAGACTAACTGGCATTTCCGCGATAGGTACTGTCGACATATCGATCGGGATTCAAACCAGCAGTGACAGTGGATCTCGGACTCAGAGAAGACGGTCCGGTTCCTCTATAGGTTCCTCATGTGGCGGTGCGACATTCAACGCGGTAAAAAAGGGCGACATTGCCCGGGGATTAAATACAAAAGCTCGCTGGAGTCATTCTGGAAGTGGTGGCATCTGGTCTTGAAGCAGGGGACCGCAACAGGGTTGAGTAAGGAGATCCAGGTGAAGGTGCAAGATGTGAGCCGATGAGACCTGCTCATTTCTGTCCAATATGATGGACTGACCTCTGGCTACAGCTCATTGCCATTGTGGCCGAGCAGAAAGGCTTAGAATTCACGCGGCGAGCGAAGAAGAATATGTAAATTGAGGATATCGCCGAGTTTGCACGGGTCCTCTTGACCATGACTGAAATGACATTTGAGTGTGGGTGGCAACGGATTCAGCTTCTCTTCTTCTGCCAGCTTGCCGCCCTCACGGCGAGTCGACCAGGGGCGCTTCTCGGCCTTCGCTACCGCGACATCTCACTGACCCTTATTCGAGATCCGGAGGGAGGGCGACCCCACCTGTTCATTTTCCTAAAGCCGGAATTCACTAAGAAGTTTCTTGGGAAGAAGGCTCCGTACGTGCTGGCAATGGAGTCCACCGAAGCAGTTCACTGATCAATTCTTGGGCAGGAACGAGTTTAAAATCCCCGAAATCATTTTCGATTCGACTCTAGTCCTTAGTCCGCATGTGTGTCTACTCGGCATGCTCTTTTACATTAAAGGCTTCAAGTCCATCACGGCCACAGGACCAGTACTAGACAGCCCGGAAAAGCTCTACAGCCTCGAAGTACTCGATGGCTTAGGACAGCAGGAACTGAAACTGAAGAACGAACTGCTGGACAAATACATATTCTGCCCAACAGTTCGAGAAACCACAGGGTTCCGAATCGCGGTGGAGAAGAAATTGCTGGCGTCAACAGTGACTTCCCGGATGCGCCGTGCGGGCCAGATCACCGGCTTCGAACAGGTGACGAAGCCGTACCTCCTTCGGTATGCAGGAGCGAAAGCTTTCAATAGCAGTGGTGCGTATCTGTCTATTGCTCTCCTCCAGGCAGAGCTAACATAGCGAATAGGGGAAGTTACAGATGCGCTACAGAACGCCATGCTACAGCATGCCGACATTCGCACGTTCATTCGACATTACGAGGTTGACGTTGATGTTGACGTCCAAGGCATCGTGCGCAAGACGGGCTCAAACCCCTCTTGTGCGGTTCGCTTGTTCCCTAAGCGCCTCTATCGATCCCGATCGGCCCTTTTGGCTTTCCGCGGAAGAGTCGAAGTCTCTCAACCAGCTCCCGGCGGTCCGCGAACGACAGAAGACCGTCAACGAGCGGAAGCGAAAATGGGTGGATCGAAAGACGAAGCTGGATCGCATTACCCAGGCCTGTCAAGCTTCGTTTGGTTACCTTAACGCCAGCGCTCTCACTGGTCGTCACCGTCAGCTCCAAGAGAAGCTGAAACACCTCCAGGATCGGACCCTGGAAGCCAAGCGGAAGTATAACGCATCTATTCGTGAACTACGCAACGAGAAGCAACGACAACGGAATCGACGCATCCGAGAGAACCTGGAACGGTACAAGAACGAGCAGCCGGTGATCGACCTGGAACAGCAGCTGGCTGGGAAGTTGGTAGATGCGAAAGTGATGGGCGCTCTCGAGCGGAAGGGGTTCATGCCCCCACAGCAGATGCTGATGATTGACGCGATCCTCTCACTGCCGGGGACAACTCTGGAGGCGGAGTATGAGCGCCGGATCGAAGCGATCAATGTTCGAGGATGTTCAATATTCCCCGGGTATTGATATGGACCGAGCTTAACATCGCGCGCCATATTTGTTATTTTTAAAGAGGGATGGTGTGACCTTGGTGTTCTTTGGCTCATTGTTTCCAATCTCGCTCACTTTGTGAAGCCGCTGAAGCAGCTAGCGCCTTCAGCGCAAACCTTGGCTAGGTTTCAGTAGCAATTATTGGCTTGCAGCTTGCTTTGGTGCCCACTTCAGCTCCTCAGTCATGCAAGTGCTGTGTCATTGAGCCCCATGGCCGATATACTCACTGTGAGCGAGCACTCGGTAGATAATTAACTAGGTTATATACAGGAGGCTATGTGTAGAGCAGGTTCACCACATCGCTCATGTGTTCAAGTCCCAGCTCCAGTTCTATTTACACCACACGCACCCGCTTCGAGTGACGTTCATCAGGACCACGCCGTAATCGTTTGAGAGCACCTGACCGTTTGTGCAGCGATCGACAGTCCAAGGTGCACCGATGGAAGTCAATGATGAGGGCTCGCTCGAGCTCAGGATTCCACAAGATGTTATCCGGACGAAGATCCTGATGAACAACGCCGAAAGAGCGGATCTCCTTCACCGACCGATAAATCGCTCGTTGGATGGCCTTGTCCAGAGGATCATGGCCCACGCTCTCACCACCCCAGCCCATCAGAAGCATATGACGGATCCTTCCCGCGCCATGGAGGAAGTAGGTTTGGCCTAAATTGATCGCCCCGAGGAAGACGGGAACAGCCGATCCTTGCGCACGCTGGAGAACCCGGTAGACGTCTGCTTCACGCGAGACCTCCCCCCAGAGTCTCGATGTAGTCCCCTTCCCCACAATAGTATATCCAAAGGTGGCACACGTGATTTTGAATGGTGCACCGGAGGACCCACATGAGCCGATAGGAGTGCAGTTATGATCCAGATCCTGATCGAGCTGCGCCTTGAGCTTCTTCACTAAGTCAGCTGCACCAATCGGATGGCAGTTTGCCCTTCCCCCAAGCATATGGAGCTCCGTGTTGGGGCACGTAGGGTCAAGCGTGCCGCCTTGCTGTAACCCGAGAAGACACTTCTGTGTGCAATATGGAGCATCATGGGAGCAAGATTGCCCGCTTTGGTTCCCTTGGCGATCTGCTCGCGGTGCAGACCGTTGGGTTGGAGGGGACGAAGTGACCTGGCTGAACCCGCGCTTCCGTCCTGCAGATGCGGTCGGGTCGGCCTCGGAATCCGAAGAACTCTCGTGGTGATACGGACCGGATAGTGGCGCGCAGCTAGCGGCTGCTCGGGTGGTCACCCGAGGGCCGCTGGTGATGGGAGACGAGGACGTGAGGTACTCAGAGGTGGACTGCTCAGGACTAGTGGATTCGGAGTTAGCATCGTCCAGGTCCCGCGGTAATTCCACTACTACGATCTGGGCGCGATCGCTATCATAACTCGTTTGCCATATCGGTAGTGTGGGTTTGACAGCATTCCGCCATGCCTGGTCACGAAGAGGAGCACGAAAACTCATCAAACAGAGGCACAGGGTCCTCTCAATTCGAGTCCTGGGAATTCCAGGCCCTGCACTACCGGCCGTCCCGTACATACCCGGATCCCCCAGGTGGTAATAAAGGGTCGCCGGGTCGTCGTAAGGCACCCAGAGCTGCACGTCCATCAAGCCGTTCGTCAAATATGAATACTCCAGACCCTCTTGAATCATCACGTGAAATTCTTGGACGATGACTGATCCGACGAGCCGTTCGGCGTGATATCTTGATTTCTCTGGCTCCTCCGCCGGAACAAGATCAGGTTGGACCACTTCTCGCCAAAAATCCATCGGTCGGAGTCCCAACCGTAGGTTCGCAGCGGAGAGTTTGTGGGGGGGCTTGTACTCGACCGTGGTGAGCAAGGTACGTCGGTTACCGTCCGCATAATAGATGCAGAATTGATCCGGTCTCGAAGGCCTCGTGGTCGATGGTTGGCTAGCATCGACTTCTTCATCTTCGTCCAGAGCATTTGGATGATTATCGAACCATAACCCATCGCCTAACCGGAACTCCTCGCGAGCCTCTGGTATTTTGCACAACTCAGCGACGATATCGTGCACATGGTCTTCAACGGCGAGTCGTTCGTAGGTCTCGAGGTCCTGTTCGCTGCTAACGGGCCGGCGTGCAAATCGTCGGCCGTGGTCTTCCAACGCAACCAGTGACGTAAATAACTGTCGTGCATCCCCTTCGGTCGGCTGCAGGTAGCGGCAGACAGATTCGTAAATTTCCCGCTGTATATCCTCACAGTCAGTCCATGGTACCAGCCGTATAGGACATCGTTTTCCGATAGGAGCGGGAATTTTGCCTGTGGTGGAGCGAGACGGTGTTTGGGCTCGGAGTGGCCTCCAAAGGAGATCGTGGCAATGTCGGATGAACTCTGGGAAGGTTGTCGGTCGGGTGCGCTCCCTCTCTTGCCTCTCCCGTTCCTCTGCCTGCCGTCTCAGCGCGGCTTCCTTGAGGAAAAGCGCCTTGTAGTCCGGGGAGCTGTTTTCACTCATCATTAATGTGAATAAGGAAGGGAAAAGACGGACAACTCCGATGCGACGGCGGTGGTGAGACTCCTCCCTGTCGTCAGTGTCAGCTGGGCGGCATCTCGGTGAAAGTATTTATCCGTAAAATGCAAGCCCGTTTCGTGCTTGCGGGTGGAGATATCGTCGCCACCGGATGGACTCTCCCAGCATGCTCCATGGCTTCTTCGGGGACGATTGGAAGGCAGGTGTCGGTCTGCTTCACGAACAGGAGCGTCATAAATACCTCTTCGCCGCCAAGAGTGGCGGTTGGGCCGCAACCAAAAAGAACTACGTGTCGCCGCTGGAGACGATTCCTTTCCTTAGTCCGCTGCAAGTTTCACTCGATTCCGAGATTGAAGCGGCCGAAGGGTGTTGGAGTGAATGGCTGGTTATGGAAGATTGGATGATAGGATCACGGGCACCTGACGTACTTCGAGATTATTTCGCAGAATGACGGCCTCAAAGCCCAGGGTGACCTTGGCTGCTCCACAGGTTGGTTATATTCCAGTGCACGACGCAACCTGGTGAGGATCTGCTATGAGGTAGTTGATGCTTGAGACAATCTTAAAGATAGGAACGTATACGCGTACCGGAGATCCATACTTCCAAATGGGATATACGTGTCTAGGCATAAGGGAGAATATGATAGCGTAGGTACAGAATATGGCCTACGCTCTCTGATCCAAAAAAAAATAAGCATCTAGATCCGGTCGCATGGCGATAAACTCTGGACCGGCGTCTTGCGGGTGGAAAACGCGTGACTCTAATTCAGCACTGGCCCGGGATACGGCGAGTACAGGAGAGATTATTATGGAATAGAATAGATCTCGAGATTTGCAACCCTATGACTCCCCATCCTGGGACCCTCTCTACCCTGGGCACGTTCCTTGCCTGAAATTGACCACCCCATGTTGAATTCTATCACAGTATTTACTATCCTGGGATTCGTCCGCTCCCGGAATCGATACTCCCAGGATATGGTGGACGTTGGACCCGTCAGACCCTGTGCGCTAGGCCACACGACCCTTAAGGACTGAAGCCCGCTGTGGAGATATACCTTGGGGTTTAGGTCCCTGGCGGGCCTAGGCATGTGGTCTGACCACCTACGAGGTCGGAGACCTAAGAGCAGAGAGCCGGCGTGGCGTGCCCAGGTACTGACGGCCAGTGTTACAAGGTCGGATGCAGCAACTGCTAATTATCGAACTATCTGGAGAAACATTGAGTTGATATGGAGCGTTATGGAAAGCCCTCTAGCGACAGGGAATCTGGCGAGGAATACCCCTGTCCTGCACCATGTAAAGCATGAAGATCACTACGTTTGTGTTCGGCGTGCTATTGTGCTTCCAAGGAGTGTCTAGATCTGCAGACTCTCTGTGGACTATCTAAGGAACGTATTATAATGAGGTATGACGTCAAGGTCTTTCGTTCTAATGCTGCAGGTAGTCATACTGCGGGAACGACTGCGCCCCGAACACTGCAGTGGTAGGGCTAATTTGTTTATCAATCCTTTATAATATCATTTCTTCTACACTAGCACTATCCTAGGATACTAACGCAGCATATAAAACACATAAGAAATACCGAGAAATACATTGGCCATAGTTGTCCATTTCATTTGCGTTGTTTCCGCTGCCGATCTGAAATTTGTTTCTTGTGACGATGGAGTAGCTGTTGGATAGGTTGAAGTGGTTCCTGCTACCTTACCCGAGGCAGTCAACATTGAAGTTGGTATTTCAGAACTCCTGAATAATTGGCTGGTAGAAAGCTGAAAACGATCACTGCCCATTACAGAGCTGGTCCTTATAGGAGATGGGCTCACAATATATGAGCTAGAAACTGGTTTTGAAGAGGACCAAAACTGAACACTGCTCTTTGAAGATGTAGGCTTTATGCGAGGCAAGCTCATGCGAGTGCTTAAACCCGGCTTCGCAGACGACGAGAACGGGGCACTATGTCTTAATGAGCCAGTTCCGGTAGGAGACGGGCTCAGAACGCCAGAGCTAGGACCTATTTTAGTGGATCGATATTGGTTAAATCCTTGACTTGGTAGGTGTTGTGTATTGAGGATGGACAAAGTGTCCGTAGCACAACTACTAGTGTGCACTGGCCCGCAAAAGAATATGTATGATCTTGCGCTTGTCACAACAAATTCTTTCCCCTCAAGTGGAGTGGGCTTAAGGCTTTCACATAGTGTCTCCGATGCCCATAGTTCGCATGAGGGGCTTTGAATTTCAAACTTGATAACATCCCCAGTATTAACAATTAGTCGATTGGGTTGGAAGCGTGGTTTTTCGTCAGTGGCCTGCACACGGAATGTCTGGCGCGCTGCAAGTGCAGAGGTGACTGGTGTCACTGGAGAGACATTGAAAGCTGTAGCGAAAGACGGTCCAAGAATGATAAACCCAACTATAATAAAAGGATGCATGTTGCCAGGTTGGATGATACTTTGACGTTGCTGGCGGGGTGATCTAGATGAATACTTATATGTGTGGCTCCGGTGATATTGGTAGCATGGCTGCGTACTCCATTGTAGCATTGTAGCATTGTAGCATTGTAACATTGTTGTATTGTAATCTTTACACAGATTATTCGGTCTTTAGGTATATTTGAAGTACATTATGCATATAATTGTATTTTCGCTTTTTTTAATAGGCAGGAACCACAAATGTCTATTTTAAAACTAGTAGAGTAGCGTTGGGTGCGGGATATTTGCCGCCGGGAGCAAGGGAATTGCAAGATAAGTAACAAAGAGGACATTCTAATTCTAGTTACACTGTAACTGCTTATGTAATTCGTCATGAGGTTAGTTATTAACTAACTAGCTAATCTAAAACTGTAGTAAAAACTACTTTTTCTCTCCAAAAAGAAAGGAAAGGAAGGAAGAAGGAAAAGAAAAAGGAACATAAATCTTATTCACAATATGTCCATTTCGGAGAGTTCTAGCACGACAAGAATGCAGGACTATTGTTTAAGATCAGGTCTTTCCCGGAAGAGCCCTGAGATTGTTTAAATGCCTCAGGAAAGCAATACTCCAGAGTGAGCGAATGTATATAGGGAATATCGATAGTGGTACCCTGATTACCGCCAAGGCGAGAGCCCAGAGTATGAATACACACACACACACACACACACACACACAGTGTAGTGCTTAGACAATACTATATTCCCTTTTATGTGTATCGTCTAAGGTGACGCCATATGAAAGAAGTAGATCTGTTTCTAGAGCCGCAAGCTTTTCAGACACGTGGTTGAGGGCTCTGTGGATTTTCCCTCCGGCGTGTTTGGTAGTTGAAGATATTATGATGAATGCATGCCACAGCTTATGCTGATTTGATGCTCGAAGCAAAGCTTCCTGGATCAATTGATATACTTCGCGCGCATCACTGAATACCTGATTCAGGGCCATGTGCGCTTCTTGATGGAAAGCAAGCTCTTGTCGTAGACGCCCGATTTCACGGTGGAGGTCGGGTACCGATGGGGGAGAATCGAGCTTTGACTGCTTTAGATTACTTGACAGCCGTTCTAAGTTCACGGTCCTCCCACCATTCTGTAATATCACGTGATCGAGTGCAGTGGGCTCTGGAGTGTTCATTGTGGACTAGATGAGAAGGAATGGAGATGGATTTGTTATAGTAGGTACAAAACAGCTTTAAATATTCAAACACAATTCATTCCGTAGCTGTGCGGCCGGTCCGCTAGGCGCTCGAGCGGTATTTATTCTACCCTCCTATACCTCGGGACAGGCAATCGGGTTCTAATTTTCTTTCTACCAAATGCTTGGTCTGAGAGTGGCCCCAAAGCCTGGAAGTCATCATTGGTTCTCGTTCGTGGATGTTCCAGAATCTGCCAGTGGTTAGTTCACGATGCACGAATCGCTCTAACAATACTTACATTTCCGAAGACGGGTGTATTATCATGGGTCTTGAAAATGAACTGACGGTTCATGTTGTCTGTCAGGACGACCACTGCGCAAACGTCAAACTCATTGCAGAATTTTCGAAGTTTGCGGAAGACTGTTCTGCGCCGTCGTCCTTCAGCTGATTTGGACATCTGGTTGTTCATAATGAAGAAATGGAGATATTGGCTCTGGAGAGACTTCGTTTGTGTAAAAGGGATAATGAATGAAGAAACTGGACGGGACAATGCTCCAATTTATAGGTTTGATTGCTACTATGCGTACTGGCGCCAATGTCAAAAATAGTATGCTGGAATAGCCGTTTAGGCGCTCAGGCTGAAAATAGCATCATTAATCGCCCACGGATTTTGGCAATTGCGGCTCGGTTGGTGCATAGAACGTCGCGTAGTCGCCCACGAGATCCCAAAATAATCCGCTCCACAACCCCGATAATGAAAAAAGCGAAAAACAAAGAATTCTCAACACGCTTGGGCATCATTTTCTTGTACACTTTGGAATATTTAATCGCAAGGTTCCTCCATGGCCTAAGCTAACTATCTGACCAAAAAAATGAACCCGTCTCAACTGTACGCTTGCACCTTGGGCGGAATAATTGCTTGTCTCCTTCTTGCTCGCGTCATTCGATTTTGGGTCCGATGGCGACACATACCACACTGGATTAGACGCCTGTTCAAACCTTTTTATAATAAACTTGTATTTAGCATTCTCAAACATGTCGTGTACCCTCAAGTATTTCGGGGACGATCCAGATACTGGGTGCTTTTGCAGACTCTTTACTGGGCAGGAACATTCACCTGCAACTTTATAAAGACACATTCCCTTTCAAAGATAGCAACGCGTGCCGGCAACCTTGCTATCCTGAACTTTGTTCCCTTGATATTGGCCGGCCGACTGAGTCTGGCAGCAGATCTCTTGGGTGTGCCCATCCGATCCTATGTTGGGATCCATGGCACCCTTGGAGTAATGACATTTGTCCAGGCTGCTCTACATGCCATTCTTTCCATCAAGAATGCAGGGTGGCATCCCGCGCACCCAGTCCAGTTCTATGGGCTTTTGGTAAGAGTATAAAGCCTACTACTACCAGAAATACTGACCACAGCAGGCAATCTCGGCTTTCTCACTATCTATTGTCCTCCTTGTCGTAAGGAAATGTCTCTACGAGCTTTTCATCAAGATGCACTACCTCCTTGCCCTGACAGCGCTGGTTGCCCTTTGGCGTCATGTGAGACTTCAAAAAGCTTTCGCCCAAATGTATATGATAGTCGGCAGCGCTATTCTTGTTGGGACGACTATACTGCATGTGGCCACCCTTCTCATCCGGAATGTCACATTTAATCAATTTGGATCGAGGGCGAAGGTCTTTAGGGCGAAGGATTCGGCTCAGATTATCGTACCAGTAAACAGACCATTTACCGTTCATGCCGGCATGACAGTTTACGTTTGGATGCCCGGGGTCAGCCTTTTATCGGCATTCCAGTGTCACCCATTCTCAATAGCCTGGTGGGAAGTCAACGACCAAGGAAAAGCGTCCAGTATCTCCCTTCTGGTCCAGAAGAAGGACGGGTTTACTAGAAGGCTCATAGAACACCAGGCCAAGGAGTTTCTCACTTTTCTCGACGGACCATATGGGGAGCCAATTGATCTTTCATCATATAGCAATATTCTGTTGGTCGCGTCAGGAATTGGGATTGCTGCCCAGGTTCCCTATATCCGGGAACTACTCAGCCATCGTCCAAAATCTATCTTTGTCGCGTGGGAGCTTGACGATAAGTGTGAGTCACTCTGTCACGATGCAAGGAAAATACTAATAGTCTTAGTCAATCTAGACTGGGTCTATCAGTGGATGGACAAGCTTCTTTCACAGGATCAAGGGTCCTACGTATGTAGCAGCCTTATGATTCTGAGTGTAATATTCTGACGATTCAGATTCTTCGTTTTGGCCTCTACCTACCCAGTCCTTCGAAGGACTCACAGAAACCCGAGCCTTGGAACAGCAAACACAACCGTATCTGGAAGTTATCTGGTCAGCTCGACCCATGGAAAGTGGTATCGGCAGACTTTTGGACGCAAAGTGGTACTTCATTGGTGACAGGTAACACTTGGCCCAATTAAAGAAATATTTGATCCCCTCTGACATGTCAGTTTCGGCAAACAAACGTATACGATCTGAAATTGCTGAAGTCATCCGAAAAGGAATGGGGCACGTTAACCTCCTTGAGCTCCCTTTCCAACCAACGAAGCCACTATTACAGCAAAATGAAAGATACAACGATGTGGTACATGTTTAGAAACTAGGTTTATGATATTGATCTCTAGCTAGGGGATGACCCAGGTAAGATAGTGCCACGGGTAGTAGGAGAATTCGGGATACTCAGTTGATAGTGTGTTCCGGATGACATGGAAAATCGCAGACCTAGCGAAATGGGGTACTGCTCCTTTCTGCTATTCTATTCACGGTCTGGTCTGGCGCGGTGGCAACTAATATCACTTATCTCTATTCTTGGGAAGTATGGAAGAGAAAAAGGAGCTAGTTCGAGGGATAGGAAAGTATAGCCGGGTTCTCTGATCTTTGGTGAGAGCATGTCGACAGGACAGGACAACAGCCATACCTGATACCGCTCATCCTGTCCCATTCGGTTTCAATCCTGATGTTTTTATCTCTGTAAAAGGATAATCTTACATGCTTGCGGAGCCCACTTGCGTTTGAACACATTTTCGCACAATAGTAGATGGCATACGAGCGGACTGACGAGCCAACTGTGTATCAAAATCCGTAGTAATTCCTTTTATTCAGGGTAAGGACATTCAATTTTTAATTAGTGAATAATGGCTTAGTTGAGTGGAAATACCGAGCTAACTGCGCGAAGCTTATTTGAGCTGGCAAACTCAGCCAGCAACGAGAATACATAACCTCAGGGCTATTTTTAGACACTTCGCAACCATCTTAATCCATTCTAACCACCCTTCCCATTGTCACCCTCTGACTGGGCCTTGGTCATCTGACTCAATAATCTGTCAATCGAGACTCCTGTTGTAGAGGCCTTCTCAATATAGCCCCTCCTTGCATAATCCCAGAGCACACTCCAGCTGCAGAGTGTTAGAACTAGAGCTATTTTCTCATCTGATCACACCTACACCCACTGCGTACAAGTACACGGTTCGCGTGGTACCATAAGGCTCTCTGGAAGCAAGAGAGAACCTTTCAACTCTTCAACCCCTGTGCATTTTTCTGTAACAGTAAACTCAATGTTATCCAGAACATTATCAGATCGATTCTCAATCCACTGAAGCTTGTTCTGCTCAAGGTTTGCGCTGGAAAATGTGGAAGATTGACGGAAGGCAACAATCCAATGTCCTTTACAGGCTTCAGTTAAAATAAGCTGGGCAACAATAGCGATATCAGGCGTAGAAGCCATATTGAAAAAGAAGTAATGAACCACAAAAAAGACCAAATGTAGGGACCAATCAACGACGAGACGAAGGATAAGGTAGAGAAGGATTGTCTATCTTGGTAGCAGATAGCTAGGTTCAAAGTTGGAATCTCTAAGTCTCTCACAACCTTTATATTTGGCCCACACCATTCTTCATCATGTGACCAAACAAAAGTCCATGAAATGGAAATGAATATTATTTACTAATTTACCTCCTCAATACATGTTCGAGGTGGAGACTTAGTCTTGTCTAACTTTTTTTGGTTCTTACTAAATAAAGCCATATTAGACGCCTAATTTCTTGTGTACGAGGTACAAGTAGATGAATCTTTCTGATAAAGATAAGAACCACAAGACAAATGGGCTGCCAGGAATTTTTGTAGGGAGGAGCACATATCATTCACCACTTTAATTATCAACACAAGAATGAAGGGGGGCGGTCAGCTTCTTTTTGCAAACACAGCAATTGCTGTCTTAAGAGATTCAAGGTTGGACCAAATGCTGTAGAAGCACGTGTTGCCCCTTCCCAACTAAGGCTCCCGCCACGCATCGACTCGCCCAACTCTGCCTTAATGCCGTCCAGTACATTGTCAGCACCCTGTATAATAAAACAGAGTGTATACATGAAAAAGTCGAAGTCTCCGTTTTTCAAAGGGGATAATAGCATAAAGATCTGTCCAAAAAGCGAAAATAGCTCGGATGATTGTTGAAATTGGATCAGGTCGGACTTGGGCCTTAACCATTCTGTAGCCGAAGTCGAGTATGCTTTGGTAAGGCTTTGGATAAAGCTAAGCAGTATATCCTGTAAGCTTGATTGGCCACCCTGAAAGCACACCCTGCAGATTTCGCGGGCTTCTTTGAGCAAATAGTTTAGGTCTCCTAAAAAGAGTGTTGCTTGGACTTTTCGTGGGAGTACTAAACCACAGGCCACCTCGTGAGTTACGCCAGAAAGTCGTCTTTCCCCATAGCTGCAGATGTATTCAGTGGCCGTACCGACAGGAGCGTATTTTTTGGGTACACATAACTGTGCTAGATGCTTTTTAGTAAACTCCGTAGACTCTTTTGACGCATGATCTTTTTGCTCCACAACATATAGCGCAAGCTCCACCAAGACACTCATTGCAGACATTTCCGAGATCTGTACACCCCTAATAGCGTGATGCAGGTTCTCCATTACGTGATATGGATCCAGAAAATTAACCGTGGTGGCGATAATCTGCGTCGATATTGCAAGCCGTATACCTATGCCGACGAGGAATGTGGATGGATCGGTATTTTCAAGGTATGTTTCAGACAATTTTCGAATGAGTATTTGAAAGGAATGCCGGTCTATAGGGTTGCTTGGCCGCTTGGATAATCGACGATCCAAAAAGTCGACTATTTCATCTGATAGGCCTGGGATGGCTTCGATAATGTGCCTGGGAGATTGTCAGTGAACTGCTATGCAGCTGCATGAAATGGACCTACCCTATATTTCCGGACATCTTATGCTACATTTAGAAGAAAAGATTATAATTATAAGCCTAGAGCGGGGAGCATAGCTGAACTTATATCTACTTTCCCATCGGTCCTAGTCATCTCCCAGGCAGGCACCATTCACTCAGTTAGTTAGAAGACAGGTCTTTTTTGACAAAACTAAATTAAGTGAAGCGCAGCTGTTCGAGAGTCGAGGCCCCCCATACACTAGCCTTCTAGTAATTTGACTGGTAAATCGACTTGCTAATTCAAATCTTGGTGCATGTAATTAGCAATTTCTCACATGATTTCGTGATCTCAACGAATACCGAAGCTTGGGTATCAGCTCACTCGTCTTGGCGTAGGAAAGGCCGAGAAGAAATACTTATTATTTAGGATATTACTACAGCCGGATCCTATTCAACTCCTTTTGCATTTATTGCAATCTCCGCATCCTTTGCGAAATTCCTGTCTCCTTTCTTCTGGCAATTATTCCGCAGACAAGGGAGAGTCCCAGCGTACACATCTTTCTTGCCGCAAGAAAAGGAGTGATACAGGTCCCAGCACATGTTTATATTCTTGACGCGAGAGACTATTAGCCTTAAAGACACCCTCTGAAGTGATAGATATGCAAAGAACTACCGTATAAAATATAATATTCAACGTGTGCGGAAAGACAGGATTAATTGATCAAGCGATATACTGGATTTTTAACTTTTCAAAAATCCAGACGAATCAGAACTTCTGACTTTTAGCCTAAATCAGATTTTTAAAATTTCAGGCTCAAACAAAAATGAAGGTCAGATCTTATAACAGGTAAGAATCAGCGAAAGCTAACTATATTATAGGAGTATTTTCTATGGACTAGTTAGGACTACTAGCTTTCCTTCATGCATCCAGGAATAGCATCTACATCGGAAGCTCTTGAGCAACTTGTATATCACCTCTGCGCCTAATAAGAACCTTCTTTTTTGTTATTAAGGGCTGGTTGTTTCTATATCTGCTTACTACTCATCTAGTACCCACATATCAAATGAAGTAAGCCTATGCAATGATTATCATGAATACAACATGCGGTACAACGGACGTTTTGGGAGATTACTCCAGTTCTTCTCCTGCATACATAGCAAAATCTTCTGAGACACGAACGAGTATTTCTTTTCACCCAACTGCTTTCCGAGCCATCTCCGGCCCTCCGGTACCTCCTAGTTCATATACATCCAAGTTGGAGATACGATAGACAACTTGCAAGGATTATACAGGAGTCAAGAGTAAAAAAAAAAACAAAAAAAAGAAAAAAGAGGAGGGAAGAGAAAAGGCAGATTAAACACTGTAGGACATAAAACCGCCATAAGCTCAAGACAGTATCTTGGAAGGCCTAAAGTCATAACGAGCCTTTACACAAGATATTAGAACGTCTGCATGATAGGTCCAATGGTGAAATTCAAACACCAATTCTATCATTGGAACTCCCCCTTCGTGGCGGTATTAACATCCTGTGCTTATTATCCGAATTTTTGTATCCTTGAGGCTAAGAGTTGTCATGGCCTTTTCTATACCTTTACGGATAACAAACTCTATTTTCGGGATCTCCAGCATCTGCGTAATGCACTTGAGCCTCGTGGGGTTAATAGTCATCAAAAGCCTTGACGAACTGTCCACGATTAGGATACTTAGGATTATGAAGAAACAAGAGTAATAAGTGGGGAAATGGTACCTCAACAAAAAGACGCTCTTGCTTACCAGCTTCCGATTCAGAGAATGATGCTAAATCGTCGAAATCTGGTAAGGTGCAACAGAATAGGTTTCGGCAGTCGTGGATTATGTTAAGAGTGAACTTCCAGCACTGCTATAAGATACCAGACATGGTCAAAAGAAGCCTATAAGAGACAATTTAAATGGATGATTAATAGCAATTAAGATTCATCGAAACTTGTAGTGAGGTTGACAAGGCCGGTATCTTTATAGCATTTTTCTTGATTCATGTTCTTTGCAGTTAAGCAAATGATTTTGTTAGATAAAATAGGAGGTTGTGCGTATTAGAGGCTGTATTGTGCTCATAGGCGCAGATGTGAGAGTTCTAAGGCCAGTCGCTGGTTACAAATCATGGTAATAGGTGACAGTGCATATCAAGCGATCTTCTTCAGTCTTGATATGTAAAGATGCTTAGATCTCTTAGCAGTATGCTAAGATTTAGTCCTGATGAAGTT